TCTGTCTGTAATTGCATGTCTGGTACCTCTATCATTAAGTTTGTCGATTGCGAATGCGTGTTATTTTATATTGAGTGCTAGGATGGTGAGAGGAATTGTATGATTGTAGTTGTTTACATTTTGCCAACGTTGATATTGCGGTATATGAGTCTTTGTGTGTCTTTTCTTCTTCAATTAATATATTCCTTACTTCTTCTTGTAATCGACTCAGAATTTCGTTACTTAATAGCTTATTACGTACTATTACTCTTCTTTGATCAGATAATCTTTGTTCTGAGACATTTATTCCTGGGTACTGTTCCGTAAATTTTTGGTGAAGAAGGATTCTATATGTGGTTAAATCTGTTTCTAACTTCGTGATATAGTAATATGTGCGCATAATAAATGTATTGACTTCAGATGTCCATTTCATGCGCATCCTGGGCTTTCCTGCCTTTGTGGACGCAGGTAGAAAGGCCTGAGCAGCCTCCTGCGCAACATCAGAGGTAGGGATTACGGATTCTCTATTATCTTCAGTTACTAGTGTAAGTGAGGGTGTATTTGAATCAGTACTTGGGTTGCACGGTTGTAATGTAGGAGAAGATATGTTTTTGGGTAAGTTTAAGTGTATTTGTTTGGCTGTAGCATTTTCGGGTGACCCGGTGGGAGCCCGCCTACTCAACTCCTCACCACCGACGGCTCGTCCACTGCAACACCCAGCGTCAGCTCCAGGTGTGCCCCGGCGATAACCCCCGGGTAGCGGCATTAAACGTTTACTTTTTAATCGTGTTTCCATGGTTTGAATGGGTTACCTTTGCCACGTTGGCCACTCCAGTAATAGAAATGTAGTGTTGCCCGCCCCCCACGTGTTCAGATGTTCAGAACAGGACGTGTGGTTGGATTTTAGGGGGCTTATTATTATTATTATTATAATGACTAAAGTAATTTACTCAACGGATAGAAAATCTCAAAAATGTAATGTTGACGGGAAATTTATACAGTAAATTAAACTATAATAAACATATATTATACATTTTGTGACGCCTCATAATTATTATTAATAAATAATATTTAAATTAATTATACAGACATTAAAGCAGCAAGTTCATGTAACGTGATATAGCTCAGCCTTTGCACGCTCGGCTTCGGTGCAATTGTCCTCAATAACCAAGCGACAATTCGTATTATTTTGTTGAATGAACTATAGTTTTGTAACAAATTATTAATCGTATGATCTTCTTGTTTTTGGATGACATGTACGTGTTTTGATCTTAAATCTTGACTTGTTGTATATGTTTCTGTTTGTAACTGTTCTTTGTTGAATGTTGAGAGCTAGGATAGCCCCTGCCACCACAGTTTATGTTCCTTAAGTTGTAATGCATATAACCCACTGCTCGCCGCGTCTGCGGGGTTTTACTTTGATTTTACATAACGCCAACACGCGCTTGGCATGACGTTAGTTGTTTTTTGCACCCTGTTTGCAACAAAGGGTTTCCATCGGGTCGGCTCACCTTGGATCCAGCCGAGCACCGCCGTCGAGTCCGTCCAGCCATAAATATCCAGTTCATGTTGACTAAAAGCTTCTGTTACTTTTTCATTAGTTGTGATAGTAAATTAGCCCCACAAAGTTCTAGTCTAGGAACTGTCATCGGTTTTTTCAATGGAGCTAATTTGGTTTTTGCGGCTGCTAGCGTCGCCAGCTTCCCCTCGATCCTCGCATAAATGACGAAAGCCTACGCTTCCAGTGAGGCGTCTCAGAAGCCATGCAACTGTATGACGTCATCTTTGTGACACAGGATCCACCTTGGGATCTCTTATTGATTAATGATGTTGATCTCTGTCTTTATCACAGCCCATTCTTTCTCTATTTCAGGTAAAATCTTATCGTCCCATTTTAAATCTTCTTGCCATAGTTTTTGAAAAAGCAGTTTCAGTTTTGTCGAAAGTGGCGCCAAAAATCTTAGCGGGTCAAAGAGTCTCGAAATTTCAGACAGTAATCTTCTTTTTGTTAAGGGTAATGTTTCTTTTGGTAATTTATGTTGAAAAAAAAATGAATCGTCCTTCGAATCCCAGCAGGTTTTGAAATGTTTTCGGTTTTAAAATTATACACCTCTCCCTGTTCTGTCTCTGTTATGTTTCCTTGTTGTTTTATGTTTTCTTAATGCTGTGGTTCGTTTAAAAGCGCTGGGGGGCTCTGGGAAAAAGCTGTTCAGAGCCTCAATTCCACCTAAGGCGAGTCGTGGGCGAACAGCGGCTTACGTTTGAAGAGTTTTATATGCGAAAACGTTCATCTGGACTAACGTCAGCCACTGTGGTCACCATTTCACGCTCAAAGCTTATCAGAAACAGCAGCGTTATATTTTTCAACGTCCACATAAATTGAAAAAGTGTGTACATTGCCATGTTTGAAAACTGAAAGTTATTTAAATAGAACTGGAAATATCGTAGTAGCTTCACAAAATCAATAAATGCTGCGTATTAACTAAAGTACCTTAAAAGCCTTCTGACTAAAATTAATCCGGCCAGAAGGCCAAAATTGGTGGATAATATTAATTATACCGGCCCTGATGAGGCAATCTATGGATTGAGTAATACGATGATTTTACGTAGTGTCGGGGGTGTGTCTGGTTGTTTGTTAAGTATGTTGAATTGATAACGTTCGAAATAGTAAAAAATCACTTTATTTAAAACAGTTACAAAAATGTTAATAAATTGTTGTGAATGGACCCGACACTGTTGCGTAACGAAAGTGCACTAAACAAATTGGCGGCATAGCGCCAATTGCTGACAAAAGTGTCCGGTTTCACCGAACAAGCTCTTTCTGAAAAAATGCTCTATCGGCCCTGTCAGAGACCTCACAGTGATCGTAAGGTATGTTGACACGTGTCGTTTAGTTAAGATGCAAATAAAATTTTTAGAAATATTAAATTTAGTAAGTTATTTGATTAGAAACGCTAAAATACCATTCATAGTACACCTATACTTCCCTGAAATGACCTGCGTTAGTGATAGCGCTGGTTGTTTGTTATATTCTATATAAATAGTTTAATCTACAGTAGCGGTACTCTAAGTGTGTTCCGCGGAACCCTAGGGTTCTGTGATATCCCTGTAGGGGTTCTGCAAGAATTTAGAAAAAAAATCCTCTCTCTGGTCACTCGTCGAACGTTTTGACTCCGCCCGCTGCGCGTATACTTGTTAGCGCGCAGTCCCTTTGATAAAAGCCGCCTCTGAATGACGCTATAGCTATGAATAAGCGACTTTCGGCTCTATCTTCAAAAATATAAAGTCGAGATTGTTTACAACGAATTTTTTTGTATTTCTATTTTTATTTCCGCTTTTTGTTTATCAAAGGCGCCGACTCGAGTATTTTTGAGAATGTTCGAGTTCGAGTCTAGGACTAAGTATAAAAGGGGCGATTGCGCGTCGCGCCTCGTCAGTCAGTTGACGATTATCGTTCGGAGCGATAAGTTCCTACCTACCTACTTACAAGCTGGCTAGCGAATTGCGGAGTTTAACGTGATATGAAACTAGTGTTCATTGTTATACTGCCTGCTGTATTCTGATTGTATCAGTTTTGTACATTTCTTCTTTGGACTAAATCACTAAACTTTGTCTCATAAACGCAGTAACGATTGTGCATTATTTTGAACCCACCATTTTGACGTGTAACATTATTATAAAGAAGAATGGAACGTTGGCTTAAAGGCGTTAAACGTGTTGCAACAACATCTTCTAATGACGCTGAATGTTCAAAAGCAGTACGTGCGGAGAATACAGCAATTACCGACCCAGACGATGATGCCACGACGTCAAGCTCCACGGTTTCAAAGACGAAAAAAAGGAAGTATGATGAATCATATATCAGTTTCGGATTTGTTCATTCCAACGGCTCATCTCTTTGCATGTTATGTAGTAAACTGCTTCCTAATAGTTCCATGGCACCTGCCAAATTGCGCAGACATTTAGAAACTGTACACCCCGAGTCTAAAGACAAAAATAAAGAATTTTTGTTCGTAAAAAATAACAGTTATTGGAAAGTCAAAAAAATATGATGCATGTAACGCAAACTATCAATGAAAAGGCCACGGAGGCATCATATTTAGTTAGATATCACATTGCACAAGCAGGTGAAGCGCACACTATCGCTGAGAATTTAATAAAGCCATGTGTGATAGATATAACAAAATGTATGCTCGATAAAAAATCTGCAAAGCATCTTTCTACTGTACGGTTATCAAACGATACTGTTTCACGGCGAATCCATGATCTGGCAAGCTAAGTCAAACAAGAACCAGTTGCACGTCTACAAAAAACACGATTCGCCTAGCCAATGGACGAGTCAACTGATGTCACTGGTCTGGCTATCTTGCTGTTTATCGTGAGATATCCATATGACCGTTCTTTTGAAGAAGACATGCTTATGTGTTCACCGCTGCCCACAAACACTACCAGGGAAGAAATTTTTAATAAAATAAACATATTTTATAAAGAAAATAATCTTAGTTGGAACGATTGCATTGATATTTGTACAGATGGGGCCAAGGCGATGACAGGTAAAACAGCAGGAGCAGTATCACGAATAAAAAGTAAAGCGCCTAATTGTAAATCCAGCCATTGTATTCTGCATGGACAAGCACTTGCGATGAATCAAATGCCGTCAAAATACAGTTTCTTTTAATTTGAAAGACCGTTTGTATGATAAAACTTGGTTGTTCCGATTGTATTTTATGGCGGATATCTTTCAAAAACTGAACGAATTGAATTTATCATTGCAAGGTAAATAGACAACAGTGTTCCAGGCCTATAATAAAATAACTGCCTTCAAAAGAAAATTAGAATTTTGGATTATTTGCGTTGGTAAGAGAGAAATAGAAAGCTTTACGTCACTCAGTGAGTTTGTTAGCGATAACGACTCAGAAATGTTTCAAGATGATGTGTTTGAAGAATTGGTCCAATATCTCACTTCGATGCGCGAATCTTTTGAAAAGTATTTTCCCTAAGAACAGAATATAAAAGTGAAGCTGAATTCATGGATTCATAATATTTTTTTACCCAACTTGCAAAAGCCCGAAAGTGTGTCAAACAAGATATATGAATCTCTTTTAGAAATGTCATCAGACACAAGTATGGAGTCACTGTTCAAAACGACGCCTCTCAACGATTTTTGGCGCAGAATCCGTGATGAATATCCAATGCTTGGCAGAATGGCTCTGAATATTCTTCTCCCGTTCCCAACAACATATTTGTGCAAAACAGGATTCTCAACCTATGCAGCCACGAAAACAAAATATCGCAATAGACTGGACGCCGAACCTGATATGAGACTTCAAATGTCTTCTATTAAACCTGATATCAACCAATTGATGAAAAATAAAAAACAGTTTCATACCTCCCATTAGTTAAGATTTTTTCATTTTTAATATCTTCTATTATTGTACTTGCCATGTGTTAAAGTAAGTAATAATTAGTAACTGTTACATTGTACTTTTATTATGCTTATATAATAAAGAATACACTTTTAAAATCTATTGTTTTATTGTAGCGTCCCATCAAGTATTTTGCTTGTCAAATGGGTTCCGTGACCAAAAAAAGTTTGAGAACCGCTGATCTACAGTGATTGTTTAAATCTTTATTAACGTTTTATATTTTATTAAAGATCATTTATGAAACCCACATTTCCTATATTACACAAAACATAATACCTATAAAGCGTTTACTCTGACCCCATCCTTTGCCGTCAGATTTGCAGTACGGGGACATTAGTAAAGAAATCGTACCGTACGGAGGCAAAGCTTCATACAACCGCGCTGTGATAGGTACTCTATTACAAGCTAGAGGCGCGTGTGTGCGTGAGCACTGGCGGTTTGTCACGTACAGAGAAACTGCTTTAAACCGGTTCGGCCAGTGCTCAAACTCGGGGTTGTGTAAAAATAATAAGTGTCAAATTTTCATTTTTAAAGAATAATTCGTATCAAATGAAATTTAAAAAAGTGAAAAAAAAAATTAATGCTTATCGTGGTTTTCGCAAGAGATACCGCTGATTTTGTAGAAAATAATAATCATTTGTTTGATTTCTTAAACTCAAGTACACTGCAATCTCCTGATAATTATAAAAGTTTTTCGATGCGATAGTTAGCAAATTGAGTTTTTAGAAGAAATGCTAACATTTTTCAAGAACTTAAAATCAATAAGAAGTGATATTCAGAAAGAAGTAAGAAATATCATGAATTTTGTTCACGGATTTCAAATGTCGATAAAATCTTTAATAAAATTTCATGACGAATTAAAATCAGGAGAAATTAAATAAATTTATATTTATGAGACATCTCAATCAAGATTGTCTTTGCAAAGTCAGACAGGTGGGTGGTAACTGCCAGGAAACAACATTTAAACATATTTTAAAATTTAACATTTAATAGTATTGGTTAGTATTGCCTTCAATAAGATGTTCATAACCAATATCTTAAGGAAACCTCAAAATACTAGTTGCGAAAACGATTTCGATAATTTACTTATGAAACTAAACGATTGTCGTATTTTTAATACACCATTACAACAACCTGACGATGTTACTGTCCCTCTGTTAACAGCAGGAACAAATAACCATCAATTTGATTTTCCAGAAAAAAAAATGGCTGTCTCAAACACTACTAATGTGAAAAATTAAACTGTACGTTAATAGATCTGAACAACCTATAAGTATGGGAAAAGAATATATTTTCAGTCATTACAAGGATTTTAATAAAGATAGTGTTCAATCGGGTTTTTAATAATACTTTCTGACAATTTTATTGCGTTTTTTGAATTGCTTGAGCAAAAATTTGAAAAAAGTATTTTGACTTCGAAAGAAACATTGCATATATTGGTAGCGAAATGTGTAATGGGTAGTGTAAATGTAGTGTAAGTGTAGTAAATGGGTAGTGTAAATGTAGTGTAAGTGTAGTAAATGGGTAGTGGTGGTGAAGTGAAGTAGTAGTGAAAAGCGAAAAGTGCAACGTGTGCAATGATATAATAAGAATGTATGCAATGTGAGTGCTTTCCCATAGGTTATTTAAAAAAAAAACTGCATTAGATTTAGAATTTACCATTTAATTAAAAGTCTCAACAAATTGTTAAAGAAATAATTATAAAAGTAAAATATTTAGAATACGTAGTTTATAAAAAATATTCTTCTATCTTAAGTATCTATTAAAAAGCTGATAAACGTTATGCTTATTTAATATTATCCACCTGTACTGTACCAAAATATGTAAAAATTTTGACAGCTCCTTAGAAGCTTTGCCTATGTACAGTTTCTTTACTCATGTGGTACGAGCTCGTGGACTTAGCTATGTGACAAGCAAATGATATAGAATAAATTGCAAATGGCTACATACAATGCGTATTTTTGTGACATTCATGAACATCCTACGAAGATGAACGCGTGATGAATATGTAACTTGTGCAAATCAACAAAACTAATTTATTCATGTCCAGGGTGCGTATAATAACATTACGCGATGTGTACGTGTAATTAAAAAATATCAATGTAGGTATTCTATTAGAAGTTCCCACGCTCAAAAACTACTACAGTCTTAAGAATGTGCCACTCTTGTATGGAAGCTCAATTTACTTCAAAGCAGCGCGAAACTTCCCTTTACGTACATATATACAAACTAAGCTAGAGTTAAATTAAAGAAATGCCAAACGTCTGCTGGTTGTTCGCTTTAATTTTCTTCTTAGGTGGTAAAAAGAAACTAAAATATAAAAATAGAAAACTAGAAACAAAATGCTGAGAGCTGCGTTGAAAACGTTTCTAAAAGTAATAGTTGTTCTCAGTTATTTGTGTAGTTTAGAAGTAATTCCATAGCATCATTCGTTTACATTTTATACGTAAGCTCAAATCTATTGGTTTTGGGTTTCTAATACGTTTCACTCAAGTACAAGTCTTTATACCTCTGGATCTAAGTTCTCTTCGTTTTTTTAGCGGTAGAGTCATACAGTAGCTATATTATCGTTGTCACAAAATACCAGCGTATATAGCAGCTTAATGCTGTTGTATTTCGTATGGTGATTGTAAATAACCTGAGACCCTTTTTACTATCTGACCTCAATAGTGTTTCCCAACGAATAGGTCTTAAGATGAACATTGATGAAACAAAAATCATGTTTAACGTCAATGTCACATAATGTAGTTTTGGGAGCACTAAGCGCAAAGTTGTTGACGAGTATGTTTACCTGGGACAAATAGTTCGACTACGTAAGTCCAACTTCGACCGAGAGGTCAATCGACGGATTCAACTCGGCTAGGCAGCGTTCCGGAAATTACGACATACCTCAGAACCTCAAAACTAGATTTATCAACCAGTGCGTGTTGCCAGTGATGACCTACGGATCTGAGACGTGGTCCTTCACTGCTGGCCGTATGAAGAAGCTCAAGGTAACTCAGCGAGCTATGGAGAGGGCTATGCTCGGAGTTTCTCTGCGTGATAAACTTAGAAATGAGGATATCCGCAGTAAAACCAGAGTGACCGACATAGCCCAACGGATTAGTAACCTGAAGTGGCAATGGGCCAGCCATATAGCTCGAAGAACCGACAACCGATGGGGAAGAAAGGTTCTTGAGTGGCGGTCTCGTACCGGCCGACGAAGTGTAGGGCATCCCCCCACTAGATGGAGTAACGACCTGGTAAGACATGCAGGAAGTCGATGGATGCAGGTGGCTCAGGACCGTGCTTTGTGGCACTTCTTGGGGGAGGCCTATGTACGGTAGTGGACTTGTGAAAGGCTGTAATGATGATGATGACTCTCAAGAAACTTCATAATCATCATCATCATCATCATTAACATCATAAGAGCCCATAGAAAGTTAGTGAACATAGTTCTGAGCCTATTATATCCATCGTCATACATCATCATCATCATCATTACAGTGAAGGACCACATCTCAGTTCCATAAATACTGGCAACACGTATTGGTTGTACAGTCTCGTTTTTAAGTTTTGAGGTATATCTGACGAGATGATGTGCCGTAATTTCCCGAACGCTGCCCAATCGAGTTGAATCCGTCAATTGAATTCTCGGTCGAAGTAGGACTTACCTAGTCGGACTATTAGTCCCAGGTAAACATACTCGTCAACAACTTCGACCTTAGTGCTCCCAAACTAATGGCATAGGTGTGACATGGACATTAATTATGATCTTTGTTTTGTACATGTTCATCTTAAGACCTATCCGTTGGGTAACACTATTGAGGTCATTGAGCATAGTGCTTAGGTCCTCCAGCGATTCTGCCATAAGGACTATATCGTCGGCAAATCGAAGGTGAGTGATGTACTCGCCATTGATGTTAATACCGTATTCTTTCCAGTCCAGAATCTTGAAATCGTCTTTCAATGCAGCGGTGAAGAGTTTCGGGGATATAATGTCACCCTGTCTTACACCTATCTGCAGTTTCGTACTCCGGTTCTATACCCGGATAGCCATCGTAGCTCTACTGTAGAAGCACTTCAGCACTTCGATATACCGACAGTCAACATGACACCGCTGAAGGGACTGCAGTACCGCCCAAATTTCGACGGAATCAAAGGCTTTCTCATAGTCCACATACGCAAGGCAAAGTGGCAGATTATACTCCGCTGTCTTCTGTACAATTTTCCGAAGGGTCTATTGTGCTAAAGACCTTTCGGAAACCGGCTTGTTCGGGAGGCTGGAAGTGGTCAAGTCTACGCGCGAGACGATTCATAATGACTCTTGAAAACAGCACGTAGACGCGGCTCAGAAGGAAAATCGGTCAGTGGTTATTCAAAAGAGTGTTATCACCTTTCTTGAAGAACAAGACCACCATGGAGGACGGAATTAATGAGCTTCTAAAGGACTTCAAGTAGTGGTTTTCCACCCGCTATCAGAAGCTCCGCTGTAATTACATCCTCGCCTGGGGCCTTGCCTTTTTTAAGGTGCTGGAGAGCCATTCTAATCTCGCTCAGACTGACATCCAGGATATCATCAGAATAGTGTCGGATGCGACTTGCTCTTGGATTGTTACTCACACTTGCGTGTGGCTCCAACGATGATGTGTACAGCTGTCCATAGAACCTCTCAATCTCACTCAAAATCTCAGGTGTCCCGGAAACGACGCTGCCACACTCGGTTTTCAGCTTCGACAGTTCACTCTTTCCGGCAGACAGATCTCTAGCAAAGACTTTGGAGCCCTGGTTCCGCTCTATCGCTTTTTCAATACGAGCGGTATTAAAGTTGCGTAAGTCCCGCCGCATGTATATGGAGATATCTTTGTTCAGTTGCCTGTATGCTGTTAAATATACTGAAGACTGCAGATTCATATCCCGTCTAAGAGCCATGAGATTAAGAGTGTGATCTGAGAGTTTTTGTGTTCTTCTGCGGCGGGTCTTGCAGAACTTAG